AAAATTTCGTATATCTTTAATGTCATAAAGTTCCTCCCCAATCCTTCGAATGACTGTTTACTGTCAGAATATTGATCAAGAAACCCTGTATAAACTCTTCCTAATATGGAAGACTAGGCAATAGCTAGCTTCTGCATCCTCCAAAATGAAGGCTGAGCAGTAGCAGCAGTTATCCAGTTGAAGATCAGGTGTATCAAGATTTGATCTTCAGAATTACGAGTATTCCCACGAAATGCAATGCACATCCCCTTACGATGACAATGAAAATGGTCAAATATTAACCATTTCTAATAGCGTTCACAAATAGCGCTCTGTTTAGTTTATTGAATATTCAAGATAGGTAACGAGGCAGTGATAATGACAATGCTCAACACTTTTGCATTTAATCTTGGATTATGAGACATAGTATTAATGACCAGGAAACATGGCTTAACTGTACCAATACTAAGTAATATATATTCTAACATAATATGTTAAGACCATGAATGTCACTGCATTAGTACTAACCTGATATTGCACATTAGTTAATTTTCCAAAATCTAGCCAAAAGTTTTAATTCAATTTAAATTAAAGAAAATAACCAATAATAATGGAAACAGGAGGAATATCAAACTAGCCTGATGCAATGGAGTCAATCCATCCTCATTGTGTGAATTTGGATTTGCACCCTCCAAAAGTAATCTTTCAACTAAAAAAAAGCAGTAAAAGATCAAGGAAAAAAGAAAACGATTTATAATTCTTTCAGTTTGAGACTTTATAAAATATTCTTAATCTAAGAATAGAAAAAGGTAATGTACAAAGACGTAATTTCCTGAGAACTTCGGTAAAGTTGGAACACTTGTGACCAAAACCTACTCTCATTCTTGCATAAAATTTTCTACTTCTGGATCCCATTTTCTTTTCTCCCCTCTTCTAACATCTGAGCACAGTTCGTTTTTAATTTCCATTAAACACTTTAATGTTACTTTTTAGTCTTTTCGAAAAAAGATACTGCTATTAAGCTAAAAAAGAAAAAGGAATAGTAAACCAAATAGTCAGAAAGAACGTTATATCCATGATATTAAAATCTTGCGAATTAATCGTTAACATGTGGTTTTGAGTTAAGAAAAAAATGCCGATATATCAAAAAAAATTCATGATGCAGGAAACAGTAATAACAGATGTTTTAATATCGCTTATTTAGATTATTTCATAGTCATACTTCAAGTCCGGAATACGATTTGTAAATAATTCCTAAAAGAGTAAGGAAAGACA